TCCATATACTCCGTGATTGAAGGAGGGCTCCACCCAATGAGATAATTGCACAACAGCAAGCAAAATACTGAAAATCTTCTATCCAGTGGGCCTATGGCCAACCCGTTTTTTTTTGGGGTTGGCCATGCCCCCAACGGATTGAAAAGATTTTGGCGGGAAGCTTCCTTTGCACCGGCATGCCCAGTGTTAAGGAGAGGAGGAGGGGAACCAAGATCTCCTTACTTTTTCGGGTAATACATGTAAAACACTGACCGTGGGATCACGGCTACTGCACGGCAGGATTTGGGTCACTCAACTGCCACACAAACTCGTTTCTATCCTATCCGGTTGCTAGTGGGCCCATGCCCCTGAGGAAGAATGCTTCCATCCCAAAGGTGCACCCCCACCCCCCACCCAAAAAAAAAAAAARAAAAAAAAMWTTAAAAAAGAAAAAAAGAAAGAACGAAAGAAAAAAGTGATGGTCAATGTTTACCTGAAGAAGAATGATTTTATCCCAAAGGCGCTACGGAATTCATGTGAGGGACGCCGGGCCCGTTTCCCGGTTTTTATAAAGGGGAAAAAAAATAAAAATAAAAATAATAATAATAATAATAATAATAATAATAATAATAATAATAATATAATAATAAAATGATGGTCAATGTTTACCTGAGGAAGAATGATTTCATCCCAAAGGCGCCCACCACGGTTGTAAAGACTAACTTTGCGCTGCATGCAAAAAAAGAAGAGGGGGCAGATACAACGCAAAGGAGCAAACAAATTATTTATTAAGTGAGAAGCATGAAAGCATCTCCAGAGTCCAGACCAACAAATTCAGTAAGTTATCTAAGAATAGTTTCCAAAAAAGACAAGGACAGGAGAGTCTATGAACCAGAATAGAGGGGATGAACTTTCTTTCGGACCTCTTTGAGGAATAGGCCGACAGCGACCTGTGCACATCCACATCAATCTCTAATCAGGGTTAGCGAAAATAGGGTAGTGCGATCGATTTAGGCACAACTGAAGGAGAACCCCACCAAGGCAAGGAAACAGGCATCGCTAGAATGCTATTGCTTCTTCCGCGAAGAGGATTTGGATTACCTTCAAAAGCACAAGTGGTCCACTTCACTATCACAGATCCAGTTGACTATCAGAGTAGCCTTATTGATTGACGTCAGCAGGTAGCTGCTGCTATTCGTAGCAATCTTCCTTGTCAGCAATCAGCCAAACTCGTCGGCTACTTGACCTTAGATCGTAGGGCCCACGTCTAATTGACCAACCTAAAAGTCCTCCTGCATCTCCGAATGCCACTATTGTTGCTCTTGGCCCTAACTCGGGAGATGCGAACCCTATTGCGATGTTCGCAGCATAGATTTGCTACTTAGATCGTAAGGTCTTTTTTCTCTTTCAGACTTTTACTACAAACCGACAAATTTACTGGCGAATTGTGGCAATAAGAAGTGTTATACTACGATCTGGAGCAACAAAAAAAACAAAAAAAGAATGTTATACTTAGAAAAAAAAAAAAACTTTGGCAAGCCGAGGTAGAGCGGTGCTTGGAATCCACTGCTCCTCGATCAGCCTGTATGTCGATCATATCTACAGTCTCGGATGGGGACACTGAAACCTGGCTAATTCGGGAGGCTGTATAGAAGGATGGCCATGGAGCTAAACAGTTCAATCAATGCCTGACCTAATCTCTTACAGCGTTGAAACATGCGAAAGGCACATACATTCATTGTCATGGAGTGGGTTAAGCCACCAGTACATGTACATGGTCCAGGAGTACATGTCACCAATTGTCTGGTCTAGCTAAGGGATACGCCCACCTAAGGGATGATTTCAGCTCCTGCAGGGGAAGGTAAGTTGTACCTCGCGTGGCTGTCATAGGGGTTCGCGAGAGGTATGGCTGGTGCACTCAGCCAGAGCGGCGACAGAAGCTCCATTGCACCCGCGATAAAGGATAAAAGTCCTGCCACAAATCTTGCGTGACGCGGCCGGGAGGGTCCCCCTGCAGGACCGATGCGCTCGACAGCATTCAAACATGTGAAAGGCACATACATTCATTGTCATGGAGTGTGTTAAACCACCAGTACATGTACATGGTCCAGAAGTATATGTCACCAATTGTTTGGTCTATTTTGGTCTGTAGATAGAGGTCACCAATTCTTTGGTCTACGGAACTTGAACCACCAGTACATGTACATGGGCCCAGGCAACTTGAGAACAACAAATGAGGCTAGCTCCGAGAAATTAGGAGGCTCAGGGGAACCGGACCCGAATGGCAGGCGGCACCAGCCAAAACAAAAACAAAAACGCAGCGCTGGCATTTCGACAAAGCTTGGCGCGCAGGGGGAATCCGCCTTGTACAAAAGAGGCTCGAGCGTACTGGTGGTTTAAACTTTAATATGCATTAGTGAGGTCCAGACGAACCTGTTTTCCCTCACAAAAAAAAAAAAAGGCAGTGGAAAAAGGCAAAGATGAGAAGAGAATGACGAAAAGAATAAGAAGAAGAAGACGAAGAAGAACACAAGATTACATCAATGTCTCCTCTGTTCTTCTCTCCACCTCTATCATCATCCATCACATAGCGCCTCTTTATTGTTAATAATAAAAAAGAACGAATGAAAAAACAAGAGTCAATGTCCCAAAAAAAAAAAAAAAAAAAAAAAGAGTCAATGTCCAAGAGACCCCTCTACTCTTGGGTGCAAGTCCAGCCGGTACGTCAACAGGGATCTTCATGATGCAGTGCCAGCACCGCCAACCAGGTAAGTGAAGACGAAGGTCCACCATAGCCAAAAGGCATGTCTTCCTCTCGGGTTCCCTCCTTCTCCCTCTTTCCTCTCACCTACTACTGCCTTCCTCCTATCTGCATAGACCAACCTCGGCATCCACTGATACTCCCTCCCTGGCTAGGCACTCACCCTCTTCTCCACTTACCCCTAGTGGCAGCCTCTGCCGGTGCGCTTCGGCCTCCCGGTTCCTGCCTACAGACCCTGGATCTAGATCTGACACAGACCTGGTACCATCATTACCTACCTGCTATCCCACGGGACTCTAGGGCCTCTCCGCTGCGGGAAAAACCTTACCGGGTCCCTAGCAATTCTACTTTTTATCGGGCACCTTCCCAGAATTTCTGATAAGTCCTCCCATGGCCAAGTTTCAGGCACGTCCATGGATGTATACCTATATCCTAACCTACCTTTGCCCGAGACACAGAAACACAGCCCAGAAAACAGAGTTAGCATGGGGACATAGACTTAAGACGCAGGAAAGCACGCGGGCATACACACACCATCAGCAGGACAAACAGACTCGGCCTCGTAAGTCTCCGCAAACAGACGAAAAACAGCAACTTTCTCAGAAAAATGTACACTTCTCAGTGTGTAACTGTGCGGGTTTTGCAAGGATGTCCCAGCATCGTACGGCCTTTAGTCACAGTCAGCGGTTTCGGGTAGCCTCCCTCCAGACAGGCCCAAGGTGCCAGTACCAGACCCAGAAGCAGCTGCACCATGTTCAACTTTGTGCAGCAGCGTCACATCTTGTTCCAATTTTGGGGCTGTGGGCCTTAACTGGGTACCAGACCAGCATCCCTGGCCTCTATGCTGACCCTGTCAGACTGCCTATACATAACATGCTATTCTTCAGCACCTTGGACAGTGGGCTGCCCAGGTGCTGGGGTGTTCACCCTCTCAGTTCGTGCGATGCCAGCCTGTGCGAAGCAGCACCGACCAAGTTGGAGAGATCTGCACTGAGGCATGTTCAGCTGTTCTCTTTGTCTATGGTGGGAGGAGAGGGGCCACCACCTGACCAGTAGTAGGGACAGGATGATGACATTGTGAGGTGGCGCACGACGACAGGGAGAGACTGATAGATGAAGAGGGAGAAGAGACATGCATATTACATTGTATATTTGTCTCCTAGATTCTTGCAGTTTTATACCTCCCATCTACTCTGCTTCTCTTGATCTTGCCAGGTGGCATAACTGCTATCCTTTTGCTGGGTTGGCATTAACTCGTCTTGCGAGTACAGGCCAGGATAACGGTGGCGTGAGCTTCTGGATCCGGGTTCATTACACCTGAATCTTGATCAATCATCACAGTTGTTAGTAATACCGTAATGCATACCTGCGGACCGGCTATCGCCAGACAAGAACCTTTGGGATTCCAGCAGAAGAGAACTGCCCCCTTGCCTGCATTTCCAGATCCAACTGTGAAGAGTTTCCGCTGAAACGAAACACAGCACAAACAGAGCGGCGACTAAGAGACTGAGAAACACTTATGGTGGATCGCTGCCAGCCTGTGAACCTTTTCGTTGGCAATTCTGTAACAACATTACTAACAGCAATAGCTATTCTTTTCACCAAACGAATATACATACCATAGCCTCAAGGATGACATCATGGCTTCTTTCCATTCTGGGGAGAGCATCAATTCAGTTCCTTAACCACCATCAAGCTATCAACGTACATCGAGAAAGCACTCTCATGCTCCGCCCCCCCCCCCCCCCCCCCCCCACTGTACTGTAGCGAGAGAATCGTCAACATCCTTTATAAGAAGAACATATAATATAATAACGCGCAAAATTGAAAATTTTAGACTGAGATTGTTCTGTGCCTCTCTGAGTTTTGCAGTTGTTCTGTGCGCTTGCAGACTGAGATTTCTGCAGTCTGAGTGCTGTCTGGTTCCAGGCATTGTGGTTGTTGTCACTTGTTGATATCAGTGTGCTGTCTTGTTGTCTTCTAAGTGTGTACTAAGTGTGTGTATAACTGGGTGTGGTGGCCTGTAGGAAGGTTTGGCCCTGTTGGGGTTAATGCACAAACCCCTGTTGCCTTGCTGGTGGCCTGTGCAGCGGGTACTAGGCCGCTAGACTACAACTACTAATAGGGTAGGGTTGGTAGGCCCAAGGCAGAGGTATTTCCTGAGTTTCCGGTAATCAGGAAAGTATCGACCGAATACAGTCCGGAAAAGAGTCTGAGGTCCAGGTCCTGTAGGTCGGGTAGCAGTCGGCAAGACTTTCCCGCCAAAATGAGCAGGAACCAGGAGGGCCTAGTACATCAAGAGGAGCTGTGAGTTGCTCCTCCTCTTTTTCTCAGTTGGCGGACGACAGGCTGTCGCAACGGCAGCTTAGCTGAACCAGCGCCAAGCAGCAGTTAGGAGGACAAGGGAAGAAGAGGGAGGAAGAAGGAAGAAGAAGAAGAAGAAGGTGAAGGACGAGATGTACCGTAGATATGGTGTACCAGCATCTTCATTGATGCTGCACCTGGAAGGCCCTAAAGGGGGTTGAAGTGGACTTGGACTTCATCCGTGAGTGTGAGCATGGCAGTCGTGGAGAGGGAGAGGAGATGAGAGCATTTGTGTTGACCTTTGAACATCCAAGGTCAGCTTCAATGCTCTGCCATAGCTGTTAGCCATCTGGAAGGCAGGAGGAGGTGTAAGAGACTCAAGTAAGTGAGCTCCATTGACATTCATCAGACACCGTTCTCGGTTAATTCATTCATTTGTTATTGTATTTATTATTTAATTGATTAAATAAAGTTGGAGGAGCATGGAGGGGAGAGACGGAAGTCGGAGAGGGGGGGAAAGTTTGACATTGAGTCTTGAGTGTTTTCTTCTCTCTCTCTCTCTCTCTCTCTCTCTCTCTCTCTCTCTCTCTCTCTCTCTCTC